TCAAACCATATAATAAAGTAGATGAATAACTATTTATATATATATATATATATATATATATATATATTTCACAAAATGATGAATATAATACATAAAAAATAATTGAACAAAAATTTTATGACATGAAAATATTCAACCAATATCACACATAGTCAACATATTAAGTTATAAAAATCAATTAAATATTGTCACTTCCAACATGTTCAGTTTTTGGCTTACAAAAGTCAGAAAAGGAATTCAATATTCTCAATATTTAGATAAATATGACCTCAAAAAAAATATGGAAAAACTTGAATATTTCAATTTGAAAAAATTAACTACAAATATAAAAGAAGCAAGTATTAAGTTACCTCATCATAATTTCATAAAATTATCAAAAATAGTAATAAAAGGCTTTACTAAAGTAGTTAAAAATATAATGGTTATAACTAAAATAATTATTACCAAAATATTATATAACTTTATGGTTAAAAATAATAATATTAGTAAAATGAAAGAAAGAAGCAAATGAGATTTATCGCCAATACCTAGCAACAACTAAATAAAATAAAAAAATAAAATAATTTATTATCATTATAGGTATTAAAACAACAAAAAAATGATTTTATGTATAATTTATCAAATTCAAAGACAAATAATGGTTTTACAAAGAAGCAAGTTCAAAACTTATTTGATTAAATTGATGGTTTTTAAGTAGATATTATTAGATTAGAAAATACAAAGAAATATAAAAAAATGGATTGTAAAGCTATTAAACAATTACTATCTAAAACTAAAAAGTAACTATAATACATTTTTGACATTTTAAGACCAATTTCTCATCCTAAAGTAACATATACTATAGAGGAGTTAATAATTTCAATGCTTTGCAAGGATAAGAAAATATTGACTACAAACAAAATATTAATAAGCTAATTATTATAAGAAGTAGGGAGTAATGCAACAATTAACAAATCCAATAATACTTTACTTAAGAATCCCAACCAAAAGATGATAGACAATCTTAATGAGGTGTCTAAGGCCAATTCCATATAGGAATCAATTAGTCCTAGCTATGAGTTGGCCAAAGACCCCAACCAAATATCAACCAAGGATCTTAGCCAAACATAAGTCGATGACCTTAGCCTAGCAATGTTGTGTAGTAATACGGCTATATAGTGAAAAATAAAAATATATATGTTATTATAGAAGAGCCTAGTAGAAAGATATAATAGAAAAAATAAGAATAAATAATATGGTTAGGATTTAGGATTTTGTCTAAATTTGATTAGAGTTTGATTAGGATTTTTTTAAGATTTGATTAAGATTTTACTAGGATTTTATTAGGATTAGTCTAAGATTTAAGATTTTATTAGGATTTGTTTAAGATTTAGGATTTCATTAGGATTTGACCTAGGATTTAGTTAAGATTCGTTAAGATTTCAATTAAGGCTTCAATTAGGGTTTGATTTAGAATTTGGTTAAGGTTTAATAAGATTCAATTAAAACTTTAATTAAAGTTAGACCTATGATTTATTTAATATTTCTTTAGTATTTCTATTTTTAATATTTTAAGGATTATTTTTTTATTTATTTAATAATATTATTTCTAATATTATTTTAATTTTTTTAAAGATTTATTATTATATATATATATATATATATATATATATATTTAAAGATTTCTTTGTTTTTTTTTTAGATTAATTTATGAATTCTTTGTATTTCTTTTGCAACTTCTCTTAAATTTATTTTGGATTAATTAAAATTTAATTAGGATAATTAAGGATTATTTATATTTTGTTTAAAATGGTATTAGACTTGATAGGATTATTGTTGTTTTTTTTTACTTATCTTCTATTGCTAGATGTTTGATGCATTTTCAAGCAAGAAAATACATAATATAATGGTGTCTCAAGTATCCTACCAGGTACTAATAAATCCCAACTAGGCATCCATGGACAACTCCAATTAGGTATTAAACAATAAGGCTAGGTTCTCAAGCTATAAAAATTGGACTTCTATTCAAGTGATGCATAAGTACACAAATATTAGTTTTTATCATTTATTTTATAAATTTTACAATATATTTTGACAAATTTTGAGATTAGCAATGCTATTATACTTCCACACTACCTTTTGCCAATTATCTAGTTGGCATTTTTTGCCAACTAGTCTCTAGCATTCACTCCTCTAAAAATACAAATATCATGCAAAGATGGATTTTGTTGCGATTTCGAGGTGCCTCTACTTCAAGTATAGATAAAGTACTTGCGTAATAGCCCACTTCATTGCCAATATCTTCTTTGCCATGATCCATTTTTTCACAAAACTTAGACTGTGTCACCTGTATGAGCAAACACAAAGTTCAATCAAAACATCTACATGACATTCAATACAAGAATACAAGAATATAATAGCAAGAGAGGAGCACTTTGCAATTTTGGAAGGAAAAATAAGCTTTAGAATATGAGAAAAAGTCATTATAAGAAAATCTTGAAGCTAAGGATCAAAAAATTCAATTTTTACAAAAGAGATAGAAAAAAATGAAAGAATTCAAGGTGTTTAAAATATAAATTATTAACTTTATGGTTAATCAAGTAGAATTGATTAATTATAGGGAGTAATATTATTCTTAAAAATTACAATTAATAAAGATGTCATTGTAAAAAAATAGAAATATAATATATTAATATAAAAAATAAAAATAAAAATTTGTGTAGAAAAACAAATCATAGAAGTAAGTGTAAATAAGATTAAGAGAATGATAAGAAAGTGTACAAAGGCAAAGGAATTAGCCGCCTATGGGTTTAAAAGACAAGGTAGTTGTAACCATCTTTGATAGTTATGGTAGTTAGAATTAAATTAGTTTTACTATGTTTAAGTAAAATTATTTTAAAAAATCACTATGTAAAAGATATAAATAAACTTTAAAGTTGTGTTTTAATTGTCAAAAGAAAATCATAATAAAGAAATTATAACTAACATATTTGCATATCATTTCATATAAATTTGGTCTAGTATTAAGTTGTAAAAGCTACACAATAAAATTCAAGAAGATATAAATTTTTGAAGAATAGATTGAAGAAGACAAAGACAAGATGAAGTTTATGAAGATATAGATATTCAAAGACTAAGTTGAAGAAAATGAAGACTAAATGAAGTTTACGAAGAGATACATATTTGAAGATTATGTTGAAGAAGAAAAAGATAAAATAAAATCTATGAAGATATAGATATTTGAAGAAGATAAGATAAAATTGACAAATAAATTGAAGATAGTTTTAGATTGAATTATTTGACCACAACTATAAGAAGAGCCCTGAGGGTTTAAAAAAAGTATAAAAATAGTTCCTATGTGGAAACATGAAAGGGATACTTAAGATTCTTTAGATGCAAGAATCTAGGTGTTTACAATGATATTAACTTGAGATCCTAAAATAGACTCTACCAAAATAAAAAAAACTCTCTTTTTAACATTTTAATTAGAAGAAGATTTCACAAAACATATATATATATATATATATATATATATATATATATATAATTTATAAATATTGTGAAGAAAACTAATTGTTGAATTACTCAAAGTAAGTTGTATCAATTCACTACCATGAACTAAATTAATCCTCAATTTAAACTTCGAAGCTTCCATTTTGCATTAGAAAAGCTGAGAACTTTCAGGCAACAGAAGCTGGAAATTAGATTTAGAAAAAAAATGAACAGAAATTTAAAAAAGAAAGTGTTTTACTGCAAAGTAGTACATTTGCACATCTTGTCTGTGTAAAATATCATGTCCACTTGTTGCAGTGTGTTTTTATATATATATTTTCAACACGAAATGGGGTTTACGTGATGATTTGGTTAAATGAATTAATTTAAGAAATTCACAACCAGTCGTTTGAGGACAGGACGTACGTCAAGCTGGACGGAATAAGGTCCACTTCTCGTCGTCGTCGGCACCATCGTCGCTCCGTTTCCGTCCAGGATAACGTAAAATTAACGATTACTGCATATCAATCTTGCTGGTCTCCAGCTCCGCCTGCAGCCCCGCTCCCGAGTATCGCAGGTCAGGGTAGGTTGGGGCAGGTCAGGGTAGGTCGGGGTCGGGTCTCTTTATTGGCAATTAGATTATTAAATGGCGTCGCAACGACGCCCACTCAGCACACGAGAATCGCAGCAGTAAGTAAAGAAGTAATGAGGGTGGATAGATCCGTCAAAGTGGGGGGGGGGGGGGGGGGTAGCCCAGCCTCTGAAGTTTGCTGCTGTGGTTTTACGAAGGGCACAGAAAAACGGGCGCCCTCGGAAGCATTGAAGGGGATCGAGGGAGGTCTCTAATGCGAGTCAGATTTAATCCCGATGAAGGGAATGGGAGTTTATTTATTAGGTGAGTTAAAAAGAGGAAAGGGTGGTGGAGGAGGCTGCCTGAGATCGGAATTGGTAGAGGACCACGGGTGCAGCTGTAGACTGCTGTTGTCTCTGCTTCCTCTTTGAGGACGCGAGTGTGTTGCGTTTGGTGAGAGCAATGACGACGGGTTGTAGTTGAAGGTTAGAGGCAGGTAAAGGGGTTGAGAGAGTGAGAAAGAGCGAGCCTTCGTGGCGGTGCGAGTTTTATTTGCGAACAGCGATGGTTGTTGAGAGGGAGTGCCTCTCCAGGTTCGAGGCTTGCGGAGTGTTTTGGTGGGAGTAGGAGGAGTAACATGAGTAGGGAGGAGGTCCTAGGCAACCTGGTATGGCTTTGATTGCCATAGTTTTTCGTTCAAGTGAGACCTGATGCAGAGTTTTGTACTGCCTCGGATACATACTCTGATAGTTGCTGTGAGAGCGCAGCTTGAGATCTGCGTAACTGCAGCGAACAGGAGCAGTGGACCTCCTCCTTTGGAAGCAGCTGGACTGCTTTAGTTTGCAGTATGAAGTTGGAAAGAAGGAGTCTGAAAGCAATGAACCAGTACTCTGTCGGTGAAAAGCTGCAATATGCAATCTCTCTAATGCCTGCGCGAGTTGGTGTCGAAGCAGTGAACTGAAGGTTACCGAGACTCTGTTCTGTTTGACCTCGGAAAGCCAGGTTGATGCTTCGTCTCAAAAGTTGCGGAGACAGCAGCTCTTGAAAAGGGCTTCAGAAATCCATTGCCAGCTCCGCACAAATAGCATTGGACTTGGTCGAGGGCGTGTGGGGCCTCTGTCGGCAATTGCTCTTGGGCTCTTCTGCCCCACCTAGTAAACAGGGAGTCTAAGAAGAGCAGCTCCTCGCTGTGCATGGAGGAACAAAGTGCGGAGACGCGAGCAACAATTTCCAATCGTTTCTCTTCGACTTGGTAGCATCATGTTAGCAACAATTTATCCTTCATGGGAAAGAAAGAGCAAGGGGGAGACTCTGCAGACCACATGGAGATAGGTAGGCCGAGCAGTTTTGCTCGTCTTGCGAGCATGGAGACTCCGTCGAGCAAGCGATTCTCAGAGACCAGGCTTTCGTTTGTAAGGCCCGATGAAGTTTCGATAGATATGAGTGCTTTGCAGCCTGCGACCAGTGCCTCCCTAACGGTTCAGCTGCGGGAGGGGGATCCAGGAGCATTTTCAACTGGACACGCAATGCTGGAACTAAGCTTTGCTGTGAGTGAAGAACATGTCACCTTGCAGAGTTTAACTCCGATGGACGATTCTGAGGTGCCATTCCCAGTAGAGAATGAGACTTGGGAAGGAAGAAGTACTGGAAATGATTTGGACGCCAGACGGCCGAGTCGTCCCATGCCAATTTCATCCTCATCATGTCACTCGGGCTCGTTTCGGGAAAGCATGAGGACGGTGGGGACCTTAGTGAAGCAGTTAGGCAATGATCTTGCGAGAAGTTCTCGAAATGCATCTAGGGTTCAAGATTTGGGCAGCCCCTGCAGCGAGTCGGGGTTTCTCGACCCTGAGCTGGATAATCCTATCTGCACCGGAATGCAGAAGAGTACATCTTCTCGCGCAGAATATGCAATTAAGGGACTACGATATATCAACAAGGCTACCGCCACAGCTGACCAAAAGAAGTCGTGGGAGCAAGTAGAGGCGCGGTTTCACAAACTCGCCAACTTAGAAAATATGCTGCACCGCTCAGATTTTGCCGAATGTATCGGTGCGTGCCACTGGTTGCCTGTTTCGGCCACCTTCTGTTAATGGAGAAAACTAAAATAAGCCATAAGAAAAGCAGTACAGCTCCAGGTCTTGAAGTGACAAGGGTCGTGGTTTTGTGCACAGGGATGAAAGACTCCAAAGAGTTCGCAAATGAGCTTTTCGATGCACTGGTGCGTCGGCAAGGGGTTGAAGTGGAAAGCATTGGTAAAGATGAGTTGTACCTGCATTGGCTGCAGATTGCCGATAAAAGCTTCGACGCCCGGATGCAATTGTTCTTTGACTTGTAATTGAATTCTCCACTTTGGACTCTGCAACTGCCAGTTCTGGAGACAAGGTAGTCCCCTATGATCGCAATGCTGTCTGGAATAAGCTGAAGTACTCAACGTTTCATTTTCGCTTGCAGGTGTGACAAGGATTTGGATGGTCGTATCACAGGCGAGGAAGTGAAGCAGTTAATAATGTTGAGCGCAAGTGCAAATAAGCTGTCCAAATTAAAGGATCAGGCTGCTGAGTATGCCGCCTTGATTATGGAAGGACTTCATGTAGATGGAGCTGAGTATATAACGGTAACTACTTGCGACTTCCTCTCAGCAAATCTAAGGATTTTAAGATGGTTGAGGTGTGACGGGATCGGGTACTAATGAAATAGAGTTGGATGGTTGCAGCTGAGCCAATTGAAGACTTTGATGAGCGGATCGGTACAGGGGTTTGGGAGGGAGACGACTGTGAACAACAATCAAACGTTGACACCAAAGAGCAAGCGGTCTAGGATGATGGGAGTTGCGGAGAAGTCTGCTTACTTCTTGCTGGACAATTGTAAACGAATTTGGATACTAGCCCTCTGGATATCGGTCATGGTGGGACTCTTCGCATGGAAATTTCTCCAGTATAGGAATCGTAGTGCATGGTGGGTAATGGGTGACTGCCTCTGCGTGGCGAAAGGTGCTGCAGAGACATTGAAGCTGAATATGGCGCTAATACTCCTCCCCGTCTGCCGCAACACAATCACAAGGCTGCGGTCCACTCGACTAAGAAGGATCATCCCCTTCGACGACAATCTTGATTTTCACAAGGTTAGTCACGTCTTCATTTTTGGTTTAACTTTCTCGTGTCTGATCTTGACAATATGTATGAAAACAAGAGTGTGCCTTGATCTGATATAGCGTGCAAATTTGGTATGTGCAGATTGTAGCTGGAGGTATAGCGGCGGGAGTGATTCTCCACGCTACTTGCCACATAACCTGCGATATACCTAGGTTTGTCGAAGCGGATAAAGAAAAGTTTTTCAAGTATCTGGGTGACGATTTTGATTTCCAACCTACTTATTCTGACATACTCAGAATGTCAGTGGGATACAGTGGCTTGATCATGGTTGTGCTCATGATTCTCGCCTTCTTGCTTGCCACTCACTGGTTCCGTCAGAGTCTGGTCAAGTTGCCATGGCCATTCCACCGGCTCACGGGGTTCAATGCGTTCTGGTACTCGCACCACCTTTTCGCCATCGTTTACGCCTTCCTCCTCCTCCACGGATCCAAGCTCCTTCTCCCAAATTCGATTCTCGAACGCTCAACATGGATATACATTGCAGTGCCCTTGGTTCTATATGCGGGCGAACGGTTCTTGCGCATGTATCGTACAAATTCCAGCAAGGTGGATGTTATCAAGGTGAGGGTTGCCATTTCTGGCTGTTCTCGATAAAAAGAAAAAATTTCTGTTTCTTTTCAATGGTAGTATCACCTTAAGATGTGGCATTAATCAGTCCTTGCCATGTGAGCAGGCTGCGATTTACACTGGCAACGTCCTCGCCATCCATATGTCCAAACCAGAAGGCTTCAAGTATAAGAGCGGCATGTACTTGTTCTTGCAATGCCCTGAAATCTCCTCGTTCGAATGGCATCCATTCTCTATCACTTCTGCCCCCGAGGATCCCTTCCTGAGTGTTCACATTCGTACACTGGGAGACTGGACTGCCGAGTTGAAGAGGATTTTCTCAGATGCCTGTGGTGGACGAATGCGCCTGCAAACTGTGAACAATTATGGACTTAGTGGTGAATTGACACTAGCTGCAAGGTACTCCTCCATCATCATTTCATTGAATATCACACCAGCCCTTAAAATGTCAAGAACCTTGGTGATGGTGGGACTCGGTCATCTGACCCAGCAGCTTTGATGTTTACAGATTTCCGAAGCTGTACATCGATGGTCCTTACGGTGCCCCTGCGCAAGACTATCTCAATTACGACGTGCTACTTCTTGTTGGACTAGGAATAGGAGCGACGCCATTCATCAGCATCCTCAAGGATTTGCTTCATCACACCATAAATGAGTCACTGGGACATTCTGATCCGGTACGTGATCCTGGTTCCGCGTCGTTGAATTTTCTTATCTGAGAGCCGTGATCGATTCCTCTATTTTCTCAGAAGGAATATTGATTGGCTAAAAATTCACCTCATGATTCCAGAGCTTAACTCCTGATTTGCGCCCAATGGAAAGTCCGAGGACGAGAAGCAAGAAGAAAGCTAAGAGAAACCCCAAGGCATACTTTTATTGGATGACCAGAGAGCAAGGCTCCTTCGACTGGTTCAGAGGAGTCATGCGAGAAGTCGAAGAGATTGATCACAAGGTGATCTCTACTTTCATACTTCCAATGATAGAAAACTCCCATATTTTAATCGGCTCGGGCTTCAATCTTCAGTTGGCCTGAGATGAAACCTATTGTTACTCATTGTAGTGTTGGGTCCATGGAGTTTGCAGGGGTCCATTGAGATGCACAACTATTTGACCAGTGTGTACGAGGAAGGTGATGCTCGGTCGACGTTGGTCATAATGTTACAAGCCTTGCATCACGCGAAAAATGGGGTCGATCTAGTTTCAGGCACTCGGGTATGTGTTAATTCCATCCTCCATCTTTGAAATCCTATTTTTTAAACTTGTACCCTCCAGTTTTGTAGCATCTATAATGCGTGCCTTTTGCAAGTTTTATTGCACTAACCTTCTGATTCTTTGCAGGCTCGTACACATTTTGCAAGACCGAACTGGAAGAGTGTTTTCTCAAAGCTGGCAGCTACACACCAGGAAAAGCGCATCGGTACAACTCTCCAAATCATCTTGTCACAGTTGCTTCTGACACCCCTACCCTTCTTTTGAATCAGCCTACATGTCACATGCAATGTATCAAAGCTTATTATTGTATATGTTTGTGTGTATTTCAGGAGTGTTTTATTGCGGTCCTGTAACTCTTGCGAACGAGCTTGAGAACCTTTCAAGAACATACACACAGAAGTCTTCCACAAAATTCTCCTTTCACAAGGAGAATTTTTGAGAGTTCATGACGATCGAGTTTGTAGATATGTTCAATACTCAAAGCGATTGACTTGTAATCTATATATACACGTCGGAAATTGGTGGCGCCAAGTTAAACCTTCGACCGATTGTTCTCAAAGTGCTTTCAAACGGTGACTTTCAATCCCATTTTTTTTGGATGTTGAGATAGAACTATATTGAATTAGGATTCATATAAGACTAGTCATACCGTGGCTTATTTGTAGCAATAGCAGAGTCAGAGGGGCGTCATAGTACCATAGTTTAAGCCAAGGCCAAGCAGCCAGGTCAATTATGCTACTAAAACATGTTATGAACCTTTGCAACCCTTCTTGGGTTCCCCTGCTAGGACCAGTCCATCACGTGCTGGTCACCTCTCCTCTAAATGAATCGTCCTCATTAAAGTCATAAAATGAGCTGGACCTGATCAAGGTTGGCCAGGCCGGCTCCTCCATTGCACAGGAACGTCAACACACAATTCACTCAGAACTGAATATCCAGTATTATGTATCAGTCCATCCTTCTAAATTTAATAATACAGCGTTGGAGGGTCAAATTCTACCTATCCTCCGCATCGTTTCCCGCATCGCTGCATCTCCTTCACTTGTTCCGTCCAGTACAATATGATGTACTGAATATGTATGGTGTTGTCCAACATTTTTTTTTTTTTTTTTTTTTTTTTTCAATTTTGGTGCCAATCTACCTATTTTGAGAATTTTCCCGATTTCCTGTGAGGATGAGTACTATTACTGCACTTATTCGTTGACTCGTTATTCTGTCTGAATTAGCGCACTCTGAGAAACGCAAGTTATTCGGGTTTGTCGCTGCCGGACCCGATTTTTCTAAGCGAAGACCTCATTGGAACTTGGGAGCTGCTTCCAGATTTCGTCAAGACGGACAACCCAAGACGTGTCACTTTTTGAAAATCAAGGTTGCTCACTTCCCCAGTTGGATTTGAACAGGGCAGATTTGGTTAGGTGGGAACGGGATGAATGTGGTGTTTGGAATTGGCTGAGATGGATTGGCTACCTGACAGCACGGCTACAACTGATGACGCACAAGTGAGATAGGCATTTGGTGTTGGGACAGGTCATGAGGGTGCATGGAGGCACACCTGACACCAACAACAGCCAGGTTATAATGGATAAATAAAGACAAAAAACTGGGGGATGTCCTTTAGCCCAAGGCTTCCCCTCCTCCCCCTCAACACTGTTCTCTAACTTCGATACACGAACGCCTGCCTTGCCACCAACTCCATACAGCCAGCATTGACGACAAATCAATATTACTCTAAGAAGAGGTCTGGAGTATACAAGTGGAAGCATTAAACGAACTTTATCCTCAAACAGCGCAAAAAGCAACATACTGGATTTCTATACTGCATAGACCGCACTGTTCACACGAGGTCTTTCTGGTATTCGTCACACCGCCTTGCTTCGACTACACTTGTTAAAGTTCTCATGGTCCTCTTATAATTGGATATTCCATTCACATCCCATCAAGCGGAAAACAAACATCTAGTGCAAATTTAGATCGGAGCTGATGTCTTTTGACAAAGATTGTTCAAGCTTTTGACGCCCAAGTTTGAAGCCAATGGGCTAGGTGCTGGTATTCAATGTCTGTGGGAACTGAGCTTCTGCATGAAGAATATTCATTTGAGCTATACGTGTATGTAAATATACATAAATATACATAAATATATGGAGAGAAATAGAAAGATATACTGGAATGATCGGTGGAGGATGGTGGGTTATTGTAGGGTCGTGGAGTTGGGAAAGTCGAGAACCTATTTATTGGGCAGGAAGCACGCATTCAAATCATCCTTGAAAGGAAGGGCAACGCTGTGAAAGGTGCTTTGGTGATGAAGACCACCCGAGGCACTGAAGACCTGCGTGAATGAATGAGTGAAGGAGGCTTCCTTCTCACCTTCTGCCGCCCTCCCTCCCCCAACCTCTCCTCTCCCACCAGCTCCTCCTCCTCAAAAGTCTCACTTTTTCTGATGAAATTTCCATCAAATCTTCTCAAAGTTTTGAAAGTATGCTTTTTTGAACGTATTATAACATTAAAAAAAATAAAAATGACATCAATAAATCTCTAGTGGAGATGCAAAAGAAATATTTTAAGATTTTTAAACAGACACTTATTGTAGTTCTATTTCATCTTATTTAGAATATAAAGATAATTTCAGTAGGAGAACAATATATCAAGATTTTGCATTAGGTTAACTTTTATCAAAAAAATGTTTATTAGTTTACATCATAAAAAATAAAAATAAATTATGTTCTGAATTTAAAGCATTTATTTCTAACCAAATAGAATAAAACGTTTTTTGAAAATTAAAATTTTCTAAAGCACAATTATCACATAATTACATCTAATATATTGATTAAAATCTTTATTTTTTTTGAGAATTCAATCGTACAAGTATTAATATAAATTTTACATAAAATTATTACTATTTTTTAAAATATGTAAAAAAAATTAAAATTAAAGAATTCTTGACTAAAAAGTTTATGTTATAAACTATTTTGTGAGTATTGATAAATTAAATACTTATAAATAATATATCTAAGAAAAACTAAAAATGTTAAATTAATATTTTATACTAGTGCACAATTGAAATTTATTTTTAAATATACTTAATCTTTAGATATAATATATATTTTTTAATAAATAATTAAATTTTTATCCATGTATATTAGTTTATAAATTACAAGAGTATACTAAATTATAAACAAACTCCTTTTAAGTTTACTTGTTCTTCTTAAATGTATATTAAATTACTGAGTAACTAATTTTCTTTATGTATTATTTTTTTTAAATATAAATATTTAGATATTTAGATATTTATAGTAAAAAAACTAAATTAAATTATAAAGAAAAAAATGAGGATATAAATAAGACTTTTAGTTAGCCATTAAGGTGTATAGAAGTTATATAAAGCTTGCTAAGAATTCATCCATAGATACTTGTGGATTTTTTAAATATAATTTATATTCTCTTTGCATTCTAAAAAAATTTAATTATGAAAAATAATTATGATTTTTTCTACAAATTAGATATGCTTACATGCCATGGTATATTAACTATTTTTAAAGATTAAATCTAAGCTCTCCTATTTTTCGAACTAAATTAAAGTTTTTAATATTTTTAGCCTTTTTTTTTTTTAAAAATAATTGGTTTCTTTATTAAAATTTAATTGATTATAATTTTAATAAGAGTAAGTATGTGGGTGTGAAATAATCAAACTTAGTTAGTTATATTACATTAGAATTGTTCAAAATAAAAAGATGCATTTATATATATATATATAAACGATGCAATTTCAAAATAAAAAGATGTAATTATATATATATATATATATATATATATATATATATACACACATATATGTTTATACATATATTCTCAATTTTGTAGACATTAGTCAAAAAATCAAGGAAAAATATTACTAAAAATATCATTATAGGTATAGAAAAATTTATTTATAGATTATAAGATATTATAGGGATCCTTTGTTATTATTAAAATGATTTTTTTTTTTTAAAAATTGAGCCCATTGTTGTCAAAATAGGTAAACATTCTTGATATGTGATGTCAAAACTTTGTATCTTTGTGCTAATTAATTGATTGATAAATGATAAATTATTAACTAGAATAAATTGGTTTTATTTTGTAATTAAATTACATAGGTAATTAATTTTATAAACATGTAAAACAAGTTAAAAATTAAAAATATAAAAAATATATGTTAAATATTAAATATCATAGTGTATATATAAATATTTATACATTCATAAATTAAATTTTTTATACTTAATTTAATTTAATTATTTTTAAAACATTAAAATTTATAAAATTTTATATATCTATATCTATATATATATATATTAATTAAAAAATTTCACTTATAATTTATGTATAAATTTTTATTATATAAAATAATGTATCAATAAGTATTATTTATTGGTTTATTCATAAAAATTAAGTATATAGTAGTTATTATTAAAATAATTTCGTCATATTCAAACATAACTAAAAATAATTGAAACTAATAGACTCAAATTTGTATATATGATATTATTTCTGTGATTTTGTCAAAGATAAAATTATTCAAAAAGTTTATTATGGAATTTCAATCTAAACATTTTGTGTACACAACCACATAATCTTTTACTTACGTAAGACTCTATCTACCTATCAATATATCCATGTATATATCTATGTAACAAGGAGGCTTAACTATAAGACAAAGAGACAAAAAAGCCTTTTTATTGAACAATCTTAAAAAAATTATTAACTAGCAAAAAGCCTTGCATAACTTATAGAAAGTTATCTAGTTTATTATTTGTAAATAGCTTTTTTGTACCCAATGGCATGAATTTTTGCTAGTATAAAATAAAAAAGTTCTTTGTATACATATAAACTAAGGATATAAACCAAGGGAAAATTAGGCCTTTCATTGTTTGCTTAGGATATCACTAAGAATATATCTCCTAGATAAACTTAAGAATACTAAGATAAACTAGATAAACTTAGAAAAAGTAAGAAATTATTACTAAGATTAATAAAAAAATCTCAAAGATAAACTAGATATTAATAAAGAGATATTACTATGATAAAAAAACATGTCATTAATAAAAGTTTTTTATTTAGTCACTTCCATTAATAGTACTTAATAAACAAACCATGATTTCTGAAGGTACTATTGACTTTTAAGATATTTTGTTTTAAGAATCAAAGCATCATTCATGTTTCAAAGAGTTCCAAAGGACTTTCTTCAATTTGCCTCATCATATTGTTGATATTTGAAAAGAGCATTTTTTTACATATTCTGGAATTAAGAGCTTCTTTTATTTACCTCAACATTCTTGTGATTTTTAAGAGGGGTCTTTACTTTTTGTCATGTATTCTTTTTGTAATTGAAAGCTTTATAAATTTTTCTAAGTATGCTCTTGATTTTTGTGGGAGAAATTTCTTTTTATATTTTATTTTGTTTTGGAACTAGATTCTTCTTTATTTTATCTTATAATGCTATTGATTTTTGAAGGAAATTTTTTATTTAATATTTTGTTTTTTTAAAGACTTTGAGCTTTTTTAATTTACTTTGATATGGTTTTAGTTTTTGAATAAGAAATTTTATTTTATTTTATATGTTGTACTAGAATTGTAAGCTTTTTAAATTTATTTGAGCATGTTGTTGATATTTGAAGAAGACATTTCTTTTTTATGTGTTTGGTTTTGGAAATGGAGCATGATTCATGTTTCAAAGAGTGCCAAAGCGATTTTATAATTAGGTATTATTTGAATCAATCATTTATACTGAATAAGCCTTAAGCACAAATAAATTAAATTAGATTTTAGTCAATAGTACTCTTAGAAACTATAGTTAGTATAAGACCTCAGTATTGTTATTCAAGTGCTACTAAATTATAAAGCAATCGGTTAAAGACAAAAAAAAGAATGTGAATAAGTTGAGCAAAAATGAGCTTAATTGAGAGCAAAAAGTAGAAAAGATCAAAAAGCACATGGAAATTTTTTTCTTGCAAGTTAATTGTTGAGGAATTATTTAATAATAATGAATGG